GGCAGGATACGGCGAAGCTTCAGATTTTCGAGGACACGACACTTGATAGGAAGTTGTGGAGGTCGAGTATTACGGTTGTAGCCTAGGAGGTAGTTGAGTCTTGCGTTACTTTGCCCTTACTTTGTACCTTTGTGAGCCTAGTACTATAGGGTTCTGTCTAAGATAGCTAGGGGAAATGTCGCGTCTTACTATTTTCTATTTTCGACGCAGGATACATTTACTAGCCATCGCTTTTTGCTGTGCATTTTATGTTCCTAGTTTTCCTATGATCTTCGTGGTGATTCTAATATTCTCCCCTTTTGTCTTTTATTATCTTGAGCCGAGGGTCTTTCGGAAACAGCCTCTCTACCCCTTCGGGTAGGGGTAAGGTCTTCGTACACTACTCTCCCCAGACCCCACTTGTGGGATTTTACTGAGTTGTTGTTGTTCTTCTTCTTGTTGGAGTTGTAGGAAATCAATTCGACTATACTCAGTATTTTTCTTAATTTGGGGGATACTCTGCTCTATTTTTTGTTGGTTTTAGTTGGACAGACTAATTAGAGTAGAACTAATTCTGTATTGGCGAAGTGTACCACTGATTTCTACTTTAGTAAGTAGAAATAGGGGGTGCTAATGTTGTTTGAGTTTGACGCACATTATTTGCCTTTGACTATAAGAGATCCATTCCCTCTTATAGCTGCTTCTCCCCATTAGTGTGACATACTTCCAGTATAGCTAAATTATATATAATGGACACCTTCTAGACATGTCAAATGGGCCGGGTCCAACCCAACTACATGGCAATTGGGTGGGCCTGGACCAGCCCAATCCCCATATAGTATTTAATCTCGTAGCTACAATCCCTCACAAAGAATTTCTCTAGTAATATTATGAACTCCTTCACCCTGTACGCCTACCATACAAATTACAACTTCCAAATATTTTGGATTATCTTTCTGTTGATTAGTCATCAAAAGAACATTCTTTTTTATTCCTACTATCCTTAACTGGAATGAAGAAAAGAGCAATGTCTTTTTACCACATCCCTGCTCTACCTTGTCTTTGCCTACATTTTCTTCATGCTGCATTCATAAATACCATTCTTATGCTTAACTTGGTAAAGAAAATTTAATATTTACAATTTTCAGTGCTGCTTAGGGTATTGCATATTTGTATTGGAGGTTCTGTTTATTTTGGATTTTAACCTAAGAAAGAGTTCCCTGTGAAAATCGAGATTGAAAATTTGAGGGTCCGATATCTGGGACGACCTTATGCCGTCGCGTTTGCAACAGTTGGAAGAGGACGAAGATGCTAAAATAGGTCCTTGGTTTGAAGAATGTGGCATCTTTGCCTATAATGGTCAATTATGTAAGATCAAGTCACAATGGTATCTTTATCTATGATGGCACTTACGTAAGATCAAGCTACACTTGAGATAATTCGAGATATTAATGAAACAAAATCCATGGTATGAAATTAAGTATCTAAAGCAATAAGATACATATTCAGTTATAGATTTCCTTTATCCGGAGAAGAAAAATGTTAAATCATTCAATACAAGTGTGCAAGGTGTAGAGTGATAGTGAATCAAGCCTTATAGAGTAATGGAGTATATGGAAATTATACCTTCTTCTTTGAATGGTTAACTACGTAGTAATACACTAAAAATTTGCCTAGTTGTTTAGATGCTTGACTAGATGACACATCATTGAATGATATACGGCAAGATTAGGAAGATGATGCTCAACTAAGACCTTGGAAACATTAAAGCAAAAATGATTTTCACAATAAAACAACTATATCAACCAACTTGCTCAACGAGAAGACGAAGCATTAAGTAATGCTCGTAATAAGCATTTTTTTCGTGGTCAAAATGCTCTAAATAAGCATTAAATTTAAAGGTGAAAACCACAAAGATTGAAGGCATTCCAAAATGAGCAAAAGTTTGTAATTGCAAACAAGCACGAATTTATAGCTTAACATGATTAGGGGCGTATGTAGCGTACAAGTGAGGGGTTCAACTGAACCCATAACTTTCGATGCGGAGAATAAATTTATGTGTAAAATCTACTAAAATTTCAATAAATAGTGGATTTGAACTCATAGCTTTAAAAATATAATGAGTTCAATGCTAAAAATCTTAAAGGCTGAAACCATAGGGTTTAAAATCCTGGATCTGCCTCTAAACATGATAATAGCCAATTGATACCTCCGCAATATTGAAGCACATGAAGAGAATAGATTTCATTTCAAGAATATCATCTTCTTGCTTGACTAGAATATGAAGCATTAAATAAAGTGTCAAATTCCAATGGCTAATGGAAAATGATACGGCTATCCGCCAATCAACTGCATTTATTGTTGTGCAAGTTTTTCCCCCTATGAGCAATACTCTATTAAGATCAATAGATCTCATCTCCCATCATCAAAGCGAGACTCCAATTCATATTTGCTAGATCGGCAATGTTGAAGTACGTGGAAAGAACATTTTCATTTCATGAAGATGAATAGATAAAGCATAAATGATGCATTGGCACTAGAGGTTGATAAGAAGATGAACAAAGCAAATTTTTTCTCAAAGAAAGAAGATAAACAAAGCAAACTAGTTCTTTCTACTACCAGCATGATTTAAGAAGAAATGTTTTACTGAGCTCCCCAAAAAATTGTCGATCTTGTCTCGACGTGGAGATCAGAGGACACACTAATCGTTCACCTCTAGTTTGATATGTTCCCTTCCAGTTATATGATCAACATGATCAGTCGATTGGACAACAGAGTCATTGGCCGAATGACAATTTCAACATAGGAAAGTAAGAGTCAGCATTCAGGTGAGCCACTCAATGGTGTGGTATATATTGAGTTGTTTAAGCTGTCAATTAAATTAGTAAATTGGTAACATAGCTGCAAAAGGAAAGCCCACTATGGTCCTCTAACTCGTGAGAATTGAGTACTTAAGTCGTGTCTTGAATGTCTTCTCACAAAGATCTTAAAGTTACAAAGATGCCTAGCATATATTATTTTATGTCTTTTGGTTGAAAGATCGTGTCATTTTTGGAGTTTGAGGTTCATAAAAAGTGTGATAAATGAGCCCAAAGGACGGATAATTATTACTCCTCCATCCCAATTTATGTGATAGTATTAGACTCTATGCGAAGAGAAAGAAAGACTTTTGGGACTTTTGGTGTAAAACAAGCCATAGATATTTGTGTGGTTATAAATCTTCTCATTAAGATAAAATGCGGAGTTTAAAGTCAAATTATATGTAAATATAGAAATATGTCATTCTTTCTGGGATGGATTAAAAAGGAAATACCATCACAAGTGATCCTTTTCTTCTCCGGATAGAAGTAGACATCGGGTTGGCGTGACGGGTGAGCAAATTATATTAGAAAAAGTCTTCATCAAATGAGGAAGATCTTTTTATACCATACAAGGATGAGGATACTAGACAACCCTTACAAGAAGGCATAATTATGTACACAACCTAATCTCCTCGTTCTATCGAACATCGCACATATAACAATAAGTCCATCGCAAACCCAACCCTTTTGTGTAAATTGTATTGCTAGATGTAGCTATGTAGCAACAAATACGCCTCAATCCCAGCCTTGTTGGGGTTGGGTGTATGATTCTTCTATATTATTCCACTCCTATATAGGTCCATTTCTTTTCAAATACTTAATACTTTTCCTTTTTAGAAAAAAAATTAGGAGTTCTTTAGAACTAAAGATTTTTCTGGATCTCATACTTATCCTTGCACTAAGGTACAAACTTTTATTCAAACTAGAAAGTATAAGAATAGTGTTGTTTCAAGTATCCAATCATCTCCTATAGATAACTCACCAAAATTATGGTGGAATCCTAGTAATATATATCGACATAAACTACTTGTGTTGGGGCTTGTTAAATTCTATCAATGGTTATATATTGGGTGGTGTGAAAAATATTGATAACTATAGTTTAGATATAATGCCAAAAGTAGTTGGCTTGAGCCTTGTTGCACTTCACTAGTCGTAAGCCTTGTTCCATTATCATTCAACCCTTGAACAACACGATTGAAATCGTCTAATGTCTAAGATGTATTTGAAAAAGTGCAAAAAAATAATTATCCTTTATTGCATTTTTTGGTAAAATCCTAAGCTGTCAACCAGCCAAATTAGAATTTAAAATATAATGAGAGGCTGCAAGAACTTTGTTTTAGAAATAGCTCAAAGACTTTATAGTTCTGTCTCTACATGCTACAAGCCAAACTGTAAGTCACAAGTAGCATCTCGCTGCCCACCTAAACTGTAGGTGTGTGGTGGATGTGTGACGTTTGTGGTTGTTTGTGCACCTATCCCAGTGAAAGAAGACCAAGTGATATGCTTTCGTACCTATCATGACTTCACTTGTCCCTGATGGATGTGGGCTTATGGTCATTCGCACTGCGTGCATAAACTTAGTTGCTAAGTTAATCAGGAAACCAACTTCTAAGGATATTGTCTACCAATCAAGAGAGGCCTCCAACTACTTTGCAACCTAACTGAGTCATATCTTGATGGCAACTAAGAATTCATAACATAAGCTGAGATCATTTTTAGAAACTTGGACTCCAAAACTTCACCACTCAATGTTACAGTACCTTTAAGACTTTTCCTTTCTATACGGTCTGCAAGGGCGTCGATCAACGTGGATTTTCCCGAGCCACTAGAACCAAGGACCGCCATGATTTCGCCTTCCCTTGCTTCCCCTGAAATGTCATTCAACAATACCTTCGTGCGAGTCATGTCCTCAGCTGTGGATTTTATTTTATTTTTGACAAGAATTTCTTGCTATGAAGATCATTCAAGTAAAAAGGAGCTCTTAAGTGGCCCATATCCAGCTTATGAGCTTCCTAAAATTGTGAGAGTGAGATAGCCTTGGAAGGCAAAAATTTCTTCCACCTGTTGTCACGTCCTCTTGAAGAAGGTAACGAATTGGAACATAGTTGGATTCCTTTCAATGAATAAGGAAAAACATGAAATAATAGCTTATGCAATTCTAGATATAACGAAATACCAGATACAGGGTGATCCAATAATTGGGAGTGTTAGATGGACTATGGTATAAGTACTGGAGATGGGTGTCTTAAAATCTGTTTTATATGTGTGTACTTCATAAAAGACAATGAAGCTGAAAATTTGATCATTCTATTGAAGCTAACTAATTGCAGTGAGTTCTGAAATGTTTAATATGTTTGATGCTTATTTATATAGCGTTAGCAATGTAGTACATTAGATTCATTCCCCTCTTTTTCTGGTTAACATACATTTTCCTTGCAATCCTCTGTACCATCTCTTAAAAGAAACTGGCATATTGTCTTGTGATCACGAATCAGCCAAGTTTGGTTCTGCATATTAGAAAGTCCTGTAACGGCTTGTTTATGCTTCAGGCACTTGAACCGACAGGGTTCAGATTTCTCTTTGACAAGCAGCTTCAGAACAGTGATGTAAGCTCCCTAAGGAGAATTGTCGTGCCCAAGGTTTGGACTTTTTATAGCATCGTTGTAAATGCATTAAGAACACTTATCTCTTGTGCTTACTTTTTTTTTATTTTGAGTACACATTGAAGTGATAATTAATCTCGCAATCATTTAAGATTTCCATACTAATGATTTAGCAGTTGTCCAATATTGTGTATGCCATGGTTATTCAAAAAGTCTGCGGCTACCCGATTAAATTTTGTATCATGATTAATTTCAGAAAGCAGCTGAGCGATATCTCCCAACTCTTGAGATCAAGGAAGGTTTTCCCATAACCATGGATGACATGGATGGCATCCATGTCTGGAGTTTCAGATACAGGTCTGAGGTTATTTTTTTTTCTTCAAATTTACTTGAGGGAGCGACATTTCTAAGCCAGTGAAGCAATATAGATTGAAGTGTCCGGGCAAGGATGTGAAGGCCAGCATATTTGATAAAAGCGATTAAACTATTTGATGCTGGTCATCCTTGAGCTAGATGACATTCTTAATACCTGGCATTGTAGTGATATTTTGCTAGTGCCTTAACAAATTGGTTGATTAAGTCAACATTTAAGAAAGGAGGGGGGTGGGGGTGGGGGTGGGGGCTGTTAAGAATAACATAGAAAATACAGTTGCTTGTGCTATGTTCGGACATAGTTCGCCCACACAGTTTATGTATTGTTACAACAGTCTTTCTCTTGAATATTATGCTTTTCTTATAGGTACTGGCCAAATAACAGCAGTCGGATGTATGTGCTTGAAAATACTGGTGAGATCTCGAGAGCCCTTTCTCTCCAAGTTTATTTACTTCTGTTCTGTTTCTTAAAGGGCTAAAACTAAAAGCAGATTAATGTTGTTGGATTTGAAACTTGATGGTCAGGTGATTTTGTCCAAACACATGGATTACGCCAAGGAGACTACTTTGCCCTCCATTACAATGATCAGAAGCAGATCTATGTAAGCTTGCTAAATTAATTCTTATGTTGTCGGTGTAGTTACTTCAAAGGTTATAAATGTATGTCGGTTGTCAAAGGCTATTGTTTGTTGTGACCTATATATGTGGTCTGTTCGTATATAGGGCATCGAAGCAAGGAAAGCTGGAGATGGAGCAGTATTTCATGGTTATGAAGCGGAAGACATGATTTTAACTGATTATGCACAGGCGGCAGATGATGGGAATGGGGTGCTTATGAATGAACCAGAGTTGGATATGTCCAGCTTTTACTTCCCTGCAATGGACAATGAGATGGGCATGTCCTTCATTTATGATACCAGCTTCTGGAACGAGCCTGCCTTCGATTTTGTAGGGGGTCCTATGACCTATTACTCAACTAATGTGTTCCCAATGCCAAGCTTTGGATCCATTGAAGACAGCTTCTCTGTTGATGATTTCTATTAAGGTCTGCACGCGCATAGCGGAATAGGGGGATACATACTATTAATCCCATGCAGCCTTGTAATCTAATCCATACTCCTACCGGTAACCTTGAAGTATAAAGCTGATACTCCAGTTACAAGCACAAGGAATTGTACTAGTAAGTTAAGGTTTCTGTTTTTTGGTTTTTTGTAAGGAAGGGGCCGAGACTTCTGGGGGTGTTTTGTACTTTTTTTGGCTGGCTTCTGTTGTCAAGTTCGGATCAAAAACTCTTTACCACCGTAAATGTAATAAACTGGAGACCTAAGAAATGGAAAAATATGAAATAAAAAGGTGCATAGTTCGGGCTTATAATCTTGTCATCAAGCTTTGTTTGATTTGTCATGTTTAGAAACCGTGCTCTATGCTCTACTCTTAGCATAATCCCTACTAAAATGTTTGTGTTGTCTAATGAATATTCTAAAGGAAAAGCAGAGGTGTTTAGTAATTATTTCATTACTCCGGCTTGTAGATTTTGTCACTTCAGCTTTTCTCAGTCTAAGAGAAGAGTTTTTCATAGTTTCCCCTCATTTTGTTCTGTTTGGCTCAAGCTAAGGAGGTGACCTCGCCCTCTTTTAAGTTTGAAAAAAATCAGAGATGTGTAGCGGTGACCTGACCCTTCGGCCTTCACCCACAGGTTACCAACATACATAGAAGGCACTCAATTTGGTCTCTTAGATTCGGCAATTGATCTTCCTGCATTTACGGATCCATATATCAACTGCAGCACAAACCGCACAAACAGAGATGGCGTGGGTATGGGGTGCAGAGGCAGTCTCAAAACTCGCTTCAGTAACAATGGGATTTTGAAAAAGCAAAAACAACAGAGCAATAAAAGAATCATCATTCAGCAGCTATAGCTCGGCAAACTAAAAATATATAGCCCCAAATATGCTTGTTATTCCCATCCTCGAGAGGGAACAGCGTTTCTAGCATCAAATTGATTTTGTATCTATTCTAACAAAAAAACATCCGCAACGCTTAAGTTTTAGGGGGACTCCCCCTCTCCAAAATCTCAAAATTAGAGAAATATAAAATTGTCAAGATTGTTGTGTAAGAATACTCTCCAGCTTACTACGAAAGAGCACTAGAGAAACATTGGCAATCTGTGTTTATTGTTTCATCTGGAGAAGTCTTCTCTTACTACTAGGCTTGGCGAAGAATTAGTTTATACTCAACCTTACACCTTTGCAACCTCAGAGGCAGCAGGTGCAGAAGGAGCAACTCCTCCAGTTGTAGGCCTGAAATCGCATCAGAAAAAATAAACCAAACATATTTATTAAGTTCTCAAAGCAGACTGATACATGAAAGGTAGACAGGTTTAGAATGTCCAACTAAGTGTTAGAAGAAGACACTTACAGCCCAACAAAAACCTTGAAAGCATCATAGATTCCCCATTGAGCACCAGTAAGAGTTCCAATCATGACAATACGTAGAGGAAGCCCACGGGTAAAGAGACCCACTACTCCTATCTTCTTCACGGCCTGAGGAAATAGTTTTTTGTCAGAAACAAATGGCGGGTTTCGCGTGAAAGATTAATGACTTGAGGACATTTCAAAAAATAAGAGGCGAAAAGAGAGATGGCGCAACAAACGATAGAAGCTTCGAAATGCTTACATCACCAACAGTTGCACCCTTGGCATTGTTGAGGAATGAGACAAGATTGTCAGCAGGATGGGATACAATAGCACAGAAGACACCGGCTATATATCCACCAGCAAAGCTAATACCAAGTTGCATAGATTTGCTGCACTCATTTTTAGGCTTTGGGACTGCATGCTTGTAGATCATCTCCACAATAGTCTCAAAGGACGCAAACTTCATCATTGTATCTGCAATTTACGACGTTTAATCCTTAATGCCCAACAACAAATAGTAACTCAAAACAAAGTCAAAATTAGAAGAACAATAGCACAAACAGATATGCACTGATAAAACAAATACACAGTAGTCTTAAAATAGGCATCATGTTTCAGGCTCTGCAACATCGCAGGATTATACTTTTATTTGTGTCGTGCAAGTAGAAAAAGAGAAAAAAATAGATGAAAGACCGAATCAAGAAGGAAAGCTTTGGGTGAATTACTAGGACGACTCTACCTGAACCAAAAATGGGCCTCCCTCTAAAACCTACCAAGAGCAGAAAACATCATGACATGGACCTTCCCAGCCCTTAATCTGTATTGCTTTAAATCACAAGTTATAACAGCAAAAAGGTTCAAAAATTCTTACCCTCGAATCCTACTGTATTTCCGAAGAGTAAGAGCATCTAAACATATGAATAGAAGGGAATGTTGTCAAAGAATTCCGCAAGATTTTCCATCATTCGACCGTCCAACTTAGAAACTAATGAATCCCAGACCTATGCTCCCCCCAAGGAAAAAAACCATTCTCACTCTAATTTACACATTTAACTTAAATCGCCAACCTCCATCCAATCATACTCCAATCCAAGCCCTATTATGTCCCCTTCCTCCCGAAGCTTCTGCTCTCCCTCTGATTGCCCCCTTCCACTAGTCCTGTCCTTCCCCTTTCATTCCCCAAGCTCCCCATAAAGTTCAATACCCAATTTTGTGGAATAGTATGTTAATGGCCAACAAGCATATTAAAACTTGCAATGTACTTAGATCATAGGCTTACGTGCAATATTTTGTCTTCCAAAGAAAAATGCAATAAGTTCTTAATATAAAGCAGAGCATTTCAACAAGTGACCCTATTTACTTGGCTCGAACAAGTGAAGGTGCTTGAGAGCTAACTTTCTAGCTTTCACCAACCAAAAAAGGAAGCCATTACCAGAACGAGAAAGAGACAAGAAATTTCCATCAGCTATGACAATTTTTTTGATGAAGTCCATCAGCTATGGCAATTAATTACTGCTGCATCCAAACATAAGCCCTTATATATCCATCTTCAACTTCCAGGCCTTCTGGGGCCTATTGGATCCTAATTATAGAAACTCTTGCAGTTCTAAGTAAGGTGACTGTCCGCATTTAATAAACATACGTGGAGAAGGAAATCTCTCTATTTGTTTTATTTAACAGAGAAACGAAAAGTTAATTTTCTCAAATAACTATTCCATCGATCTTTTTAGGGGGTAGCGAGGGGAGGTCCCGCGTTTGGAGTTTCTATTGTTTTTTAAGACAGGTCCAACTAACAGACCCTAAGTTTTACAAATTCTAGCAAACATCAAAACGCTTCTCACTCATTTGGGTAATCATATGGATATCAAACCCCTAGTCGCATTATTAAAATATCCCAGGTAATAAGCAAGTTAGTAAATAACAACAAACAGTAGAAGACAGATGGTTCCACTTACATGGAATCTGACGTCCCCAAAGAGGAACCAAACCTTTGTACAGGCTGCAAAAATATAACAAAATATTAAAATCTGTTCTATAAGGTACAGATTCAGGAATGTGCTAACAACAATGATAATAGCATACCCCATGGTTCCTTCAGATCTTACGAATTTTGGTAATCCATCTGACAATCCCCTAGCAAAACCAGGCTGTGTCTGAACACGAACTTTTACAGCTTCAAATGGGCAAAGAGCAATGTCTGCAATCACTTCCGCAGATGCAGAACCAGCAAGGTATATCAGAGTCTTGTACTTTGCAGCATTTTCTGCTCCAGCAAGGTCAGAGTAGTACTTCTTGAAGAATTCATAGAATCCAAACTTGCATGCACCCTGAGCACTGTAACCCAGAAGAGTAGGAACCCATCCCCTGAAGAAGCCCTTAGCACCTTGTTCCTTAAGCAGCACTCCAAATCCAGATGAAATGCTCTTGTATTTCGCGGGGTCAATCTAGGAATTTATGAAATTTCAGTCAGTTTAGATAATTCATTACTAATGCTCGGTAAGAAAATAAAAACAATTTAATTACCAAGGGAATAGTTTCACACATGAAGACATCATACCATAGTTAAGAAAAGTAAAGGGGGAAGCTAGCAAATGAGAAACTATCCCATTGGGAAGGAAAGTCAGTACAGTAAAATATCTAGGACCATTACGAGCACAATGTCCAAACATGTAAAAATGAAGCTCTTTAATCACAAATCTAAGAAAAAGCTATCCATGTTTTCAAATGCCATTTCCTCAATCTACTTGAAAACCTTTAGCTAATGCTGCAGATAAGACTCTTAAGCAATAATACGACTCAGTGACCGAGTAGGATAGTTTAGCAAGGTTCAGGGTTAAAAAGCACTGAGACTAATACTATAATAGCATGAGAGTCCAATACAGTCTCGTGTTGACAAACTGCACAATCATAATCAGCAAAAGTGACATGTGAAGGATGAGATGGGAAACAGCCAAGTCTGAATAGCACACTCCTTCCCCTTTCCATATATCTAAAGATAATACAAATCAAAATTAAATGAAAAGGCAGACTTGCTTCCTCGCTTTGTCACATGTAGAGGAACATTTCACATTTAAAATCATTCAAACTACTACACACATGATAGACTGAGATCTGAAATAATAATTTCCAATTAAATCTTAAACAAAATAATAACGCCCTCCTCCTCTATACAGAGAAATCACCAATCAACTACTTTTGCCAATAAAATCAGTCCTGCTAGTCACGTTACAAATTTAGATCTAGAACATGCGCAATGATATTCAATCCAGAAGAGTATATATCGGATCTACACACACACAAAAAAAAGGAGCATATAATGATGTTTAAAAGAGTTGAGAAGTCAACGATCGCGTCAGAAATGGACAGATCTGAAAAGCAAAGCGTAAATGAAATTGGATCGAGACCTGCATGTTACATTTGACGAGATCAAGCGGAGTGACAGCCATGTGAGTGAGACCACAGCTGAGGATACCACCGAAGGTACAGGCAGCGTAGAATTGCGGTGAGTACATCTCGATCTTTCCAGGTTCGCTAGGTGCAGGAATCACAAAGCTCTTGTTGGTGGACGACGGCTGTGCAGCAGGCAACACACTGGTGGTGTTCTCGGTAACAGCAAAGGTTTTGGGAGTGAAAGAAGAAAACGAAGATGGAGTGTAGAGGAAGCTTGGAAGAAGAGACTGACGGCGTGAGTTCTCCATGGCGAAATGAGTTTGTGACGGCGCAGAGAGAGATCGGAAGCGAGGAGAAATGGGCGAGGGTTGCAGAGGACTGAAAACCTTCTCCTCTCGCTCTCCCAATAGCTCTTTGGACCTAAAACACATAGTACAATAAAAATTTCCACGTTTTTATACTGACCAATCAGCCATGCTCTTTGCGTTATTTACACGGAGTGACCAATACAGTGTGTACCGGCCCTAGTGTCTCAATTTACCTTTATGCCCCC